GGCCCCGCGCCCCCACCGCAGAGCTAAGCGGTGGTACGGCCCGGAGAGTCACGCGCCTGGGTCTCCCGCAGGGCTGCGGGACCACGGGTGAGTGTGGCCGTTCCTGGCTCCGCCTGCTCCCCTGCGAGCCCGAGCCGGGGCTGAGATCCTCGCCGCCCCGGCTGGTGTCCCTGCCGTGGGCTCGGGAGCCTGCCTGTGATCCCGCCAGTCCGGGACCTGCAGCGACCACCTACCCGGCGCAGTCAGGGGCGGGGCTGGGACGCGGAGTGGGACCCCGGCTGCCGGGTGCAGGTGTCCCTGGGGTCTGGATGGGGGAGCTGGTGGGCGGGGGCCTGAGGGGTTGGCGGAGGGGCATGACCGAGTTTGCGTTGGTCCCGGGTGGACGAGTAATGGGGGAGGGTTTAAGGCCAGAGTGCAGGGCGTCGCCGAGACCCTGAGATTTGGAGATAGGTTGGGGGCACGCCCATTAACCAAGTCTGTAGGGATGAGGATTTTGACCTGGGTTCAAACCCCGGATGAGGGTCGTTGATTTATTCTCATTTGACGTTGCCATGAAACAGGTCTGTTTGCCTTCCCTTCTCCCAGGTTTTGTCTTCGCTCTCTGGAAGAGAGGATGTGTGTCATCCTCTTCTCCCAGTTTGGCGTTCAGGAGGGCCCTCTAATGCGCTAATAGGGTAGCACCGTGTCCTCCAGGGAGGGTGGAAGACGGCACTTCTCTCCAGTTGAGAGTATTGTCAGTCGTGTCCTTATCACCTGGAAAGAATTGACTAGCTTGTAGATTAAAGGCCAAGGTGTGGTCAGCAACAGCCATGGGGGTACAGGGGAAGGAGGAGCTTGCTGGAATTAGGTACTGGCTCTCCAGCCTTTGGCCACAGCCGGTTTACTGCCAGATTATCACCGTGGTCATCAAAATTGAGTAATAGTGGCAGGTGACACTGTGTTTGCCCTTCTAGTGTCCAATGTCAGGTAGCTCTGTGAATGGAAATCCAAGGGAATGGTGGAAATAGAGCCACAGCGAGAGTGAGTCTGAGCTGGCAGTAATCCCCTGCAGAACTTTTCACCCTGGGCTTGTTGGGATCCCAGCTGCTGACTTCATGAGGCTCCCCAGTGGGAGACTAGTTATAGAAGGTGTGCGTCTGCAGGGTGTGGTGGCTGACGCCTGTAATCCCAGCACTTTGGGAGGCCGAGGTGGGTGGAACACGAGGTCAAGAGATCGAGACCATCCTCACCAGCTTGTTGAAGCCCTGTCTCTACTAGAAATACAAAAAATTAGCTAGGCATGGTGGTGTGCACCTGTAGTCCCAGCTGCTTGGGAAGCTGAGGCAGGAGAATCACTTGCACCTGGGAGGTGGAGGGAGGTTGCAGTAAGCCGGGATCGTGCTGCTGCCCTCCAGCCTCAGGCTGGCAACAGAGAGAGAAGTTGTCTCAAACAAACAAACAAACAAAAAAAAAACTATCTGGGCATGGTGGCTTATGCCTGTAACCCCAGCTACTCAGGAGACTGAGGCAGGAGAACTAGGAAGTCAGAGGTTGCAGTCAGCTGAGATTGCGTCATTGCACTCCAGCCTGGTGACAAAGTGAGACTCTGTTTCAAGGAAAACAAAAAAGTATTTTATTTTGTTGTCCACTGCTGGTTTAGATCCGTTATAGTGCCTCATTTATTTATAGAGTGCCCTTAGTGTCCTCTTTAATTCTCCATGGTGCTATGAAAAGACCACAGGAAGTAGGGGTGAAATAGACCCAGGGCCAGGGCACACCACAGGTCAGGTGGTGAAGTAGGTCACTGTCCAGGTCCGGGACTCAGCCATTGTGGGAGGGGGATGTGGACAGACTACCACATCAGGGGATTTGAATACTGTCTTTGGGTATGATGATGAAGAGATTCAGCCAGGGAATTTCAGCTTCCTCCGTAGGTTCTGGAAAGCTTGTTGGAAACAAAGACTTGTGAGACACACTCAAACCGGTTTGTTTTCTTCAGCAGACACCTGGTAGAGATTGGAATTGAAGAGTGAGTGAATAATTAACGTCACGCTGCCCAGAATTCTGATTCCATGTGTAGTGTGAATCCTGAGAGGCCTCTGTTTCTCAGCTTTTGGATGGTATTCGGAGAGGTCCAGTAACATTTGGTGTCACCTGGCTGGTGAGGACAGGCTCCCATGACCACAAAGCTAAGTGCTCTCTAGGGCACCTCCCTCTCTTTTGGGGGCTACCCGGGCCTCTGGCATGCATGATCCATGGAGTCAGAGCTCTTGCCCGACAAGTGCATTTTTTTTTTTTTGAGACAGAATCTCACTCTGTCACCCAGGCTGGAGTGCAGTGGTGTGATCTAGCTCACTGCTACCTCCACCTCCAGGTTCAAGCAATTCTCCTTGAGTAGGTGAGACTACAGGCATGTGCCACCAGGCCTGGCTAATTTTTATATTTTTAGTGGAGACTTGGTTTCACCATGTTGGCCCGGCTGGTCTCGAACTTCTGACCTCAGGCGATCTGCTCTTCTCAGCCTCCCAAAGTGCAGGGATTACAGGCTTAAGTCACTGCACTGGTGAGTGCTTTTCATTAAAAGGAAAAATGAGTAAGAGGAGCCCATGTTTTGGCAGGGTGCGGTGGCTCATGACTGTAATCCCAGCACTTTGGGAGGCCAAGGTAGGATCACCTGAGGTCAGGAGTTCGACACCAGCCTGGCCAACATGGTGAAACCCTTTCTCTACTAAAAATACAAAAATAGGCTGAGCATGGTGGCGCACGCCTGTAATTCCAGCTACTCGGGAAGCTGAGGCAGGAGAATCACTTGAACCTGGGAGGTGGAAGTGGCAGTGAGCTGAGATCATACCACTGCACTCCAGCCTGGGCAACAGAATAAGACTTTGCCACCAAAAAAAAAAAAAAAAAAAAATTAGCCTATGTTGGACCTGGGTGCTGGGAAGTCGCTTGGCAACACTGCCTCTGGTTTCCCTCTCCTGTTTGAGGAGGAAACTGCCAGACCTACAGCCTGAAAGGTGGTGTGATGTAGATGCTGCCAGAGCACCCCCTTATAACCAACAGTAAGAAACACAGGGACTTGCTCAGTCACCCAGGCTGGAGTGCAGTGGTTCAGTCGTGGCTCACTGCAGCCTTGACCTCCTCGGCTCAAGTGATCCTCCCAACTTAGTCCCCCAAGTAGCTTGGACTAGAGGTGTGTGTCACCACGCCTGGCTAATTTTTTTTTTTTTGAGACAGAGTCTCACTCTGTTGGCCAGGCGGGCAATCTCAGGGGACAATCTCAGCTCACTGCAACCTCTGCCTCCCAGGTTCAAGCAGTTTTCCTGCCGCATCCTCCCTAGTAGCTGGGACTACAGGCGTGTGCCACCACACTCAGCTAATTTTTTGTATGTTTAGTAGAGATTGGGTTTCACTGTGTTAGCCAGGCTGGTCTCCATCTCCTGACCTTGTGATCCACACTCCTCAGCCTCCGAAAGTGCTGGGATTATAGATTATAGGCGTGAGCCACCGTGCCTGGCCCCCACTAATTAAAAAAAATTTTTTTTTTTTTTTGTAGAGACAGGGTCTTACTATGTTACCTAAGCCAGCCTTAAACTCATGGGCTGAAGCAATCCGTCCTGCCTTGGCCTCCCAAAGTGTTGGGATTAGAAGCCTGAGCCACTAAGCTGGCCTCAAGACTCCGTCGTTAAACAAATACAGACATCCGTTATCAAATACTGCTTGAGAGTGTTTCAGAGGTGAAGGGTTCAGCCGCGTCAGCTGCAGTGTCACCTTGTCATCAGCTCTGCTCAGAAGGTTCGCGGCCTGCTAAGCCATTCAGAACCCTGGAGAATGTCTACATCCTCATTAGAGATGTCCTCATTTGAGACTGGCTGTCAACTGCTCACTTTTTTTTTCAGGCCTCAGAGGCCTCTCATCTTAGAATTAGCTCTGATTTTTTTTCTCTTACCTAGAAAACGCCAGGTCTTTAAGGATGTATGCCGCCACCATGCCTGACCCGTTTGGCAGTGGCCTGTGTGCTGGGCTGGTGTGGACGGTGGAAGTGTGACTCTGCTGAGTGGCAGGTTAGTGTGGGTGCTCTGTGGGTGGGCTGAGACTTGGCCCAGGCTTGCTCTCCTGTGGATGTCTTGCTAGAAGGAACCTTGTTAGGCTCCCTTTTAGGGGCTTAACGCCTTTACCTTTCCTTTGTGTCCTGCTACCCCTTATTCCATCAGTGGTCGCCCCATCTCCTCTCGTATAGTGGATTGTGAAGCCACTCACCGTGATGAGCCCTGTGGGTCCTTTATTGAAACAGTCTGTTTGGTTCCCGTGCCACTAGACTGTGGCCTTCCCCACAGCTGTGGCTCCTGAACCTCTGCTGCTCCTAGATTCCTGCCCTTTTCTTGACAAAGGCTGTCATCTCTCTAAGGGTAACTTCTCAGTCCACTCATTTATCTGACGTGAAGTTGGTGCCTCCTGTGTGTCAGGAGGGCACTGTGGAGGCCCAGATCTGCCATGAGGGGCTCTACGACTCAAAGCAGGGCAGGGGAGGGTGTCAGGGGAGCTCTTTGGGTGGGCTGGCAAGGGGTCCTCTGAGCAGGGGGTCCTGCAAGTGGAGGCCAAGTGGTGAGGAGCAAGCCAGGTTAAGGTGTGTGGAATTTCCTGACCTTTGTCCCCAGCCCTGTCCTTTCCTGTCCTGCAGCCTGCATTGTTGTTCAGCCTTTGGGGCTTTCCAGCTAGAAGTTCTGCTGTCTCTTATTTTTATTTTTATTTCTCTAGACGGAGTTTCGCTCCTTCACCCAGGCTGGAGTGCAGTGGCGTGATCTTGTTTCACTGCAACCTCCGCCTTCCAGTTTCAAGCGATTCTCCTGCCTCAGCCTCTGGAGTAGCTGGGATTACTGGTGCCCACCACCACACCCGGCTAATTTTTGTATTTTTAGCAGAGACAGGGTTTCACCATGTTGGCCAGGCTGGTCTTGAACTCCTGACTTTGTGATCTGCCCACCTTGGCTTCCCAAAGTTCTGGGATTACAGGCGTGAGCCACTGCGCCCGGCCTCTACTGTCTCTTAAATGCTGTTTGTCTCCTTTCCTACTGCCTGCCTGCCTCCCTCTGGGAGTGCACCCAGGGAGCACCAGCCCTCCATTCCCTGCCACCCACACTCAGGATCTCCCTCTCTGACTTCCACACCTGCCTCACTGCCAGCCCAGCTGAGGTTCTCTGCAAATGTCTGTTTTCTGTCTGCCTCTGCCATTCCCAGTGTGACCGCTCGTGATCAGCTGTATCTGAGGCAGGAGGACAGGTGCCATAGCAGCTCGTGCCAGCCGAGCAGCCAATTGCAGAAGCGTCAGGTGGGTGGCAGCACTTGCAGGCATGCCGGAGAAGCGGCTTCAGGCATGGGCCATGGGCAGGGAGGCTGGCTGGGGGCCCCACCGCCACCGTGCACATTCTGACTTCACTGCTTTGCTTCTTCCTAGAATTAGGGGCTTTGGCAGGCCATGCCTTGTTTGTGTCCACACCCTGCCTGTCAAGAGTGAAGACAGAACATCTGACTTTTGGGTCGGTAATCGGGGTGGGGGTTCCCCAGAAGAGAAGAGGCTTTGGGTCCTGGCCAGTGTCTACTACTCAGTGAAACATTCAGAAACTTACATGATTCCTTATTGTCCCAAGCAAGTCTGACTGACCAATGTGGCTTTCTGTGAAGGCAGAAATACTGTGTGACCTGGGCTGCTCAGAGGGGTGGCATGAGTGGCATGTGCCTAGCAAACACTCAGGATATGGCCGGTGAGACAGAAGGGCTGAGCTTTTGTCCTAGCCAATGTATTTGTTATTTCTTTATTTTATTTATTTTTTTTGAGATGGAGTCTCGCTCTGTTGCCCAGGCTGGAATGCAGTTGTGCAATCTCAGCTCACTGCAACCTCGCCTCCCAGGTTCAAGTGATTCTTGTGCCTCAGCTTCCTATCTGGGATTGCAGGTGCCCACCACCACGCCTGGCTAATTTTTGTATTTTTAGTAGAGGTGGGGTTCTTCTTTGCTTCTGAAAAGCCAGACTGGTCTCGAACTCCTGACCTCAAGTGATTGACCCACCTTGTCTTCCCAAAGTGCTGGGATTACAGGCATGAGCCACCGTGCCCAGCCTCTCCAATTAAATTAAAGTTGTCACACTTGGCTGTGGCCACCATATGGACAGTGTGGGTCTGGCTGCATGTGTCAGGCTATGTCATGTGTCAGTCTGTTGGCTGGGGCCATCCCCACTGTGCACCTTTGCTTCTGCGGTCTGGTTTCCAGAACTTCTCTGCCTGTCAGAACCCTGTGACACCCCCACTTGAAAGCCTCCTCTGGCCTTCCTACATCCATGAGGAAGGCGGACTGCCTCATGCGACCGCAGCCAGCCCTCTGCAGCAGGTGTGTGGGCCCCTCAGACTTTGTGCCTGCCGCTGCCCATGGCCCTCATGTGGTTCTGCCAGCATCCCAGCTGTACTGTGGCCAGGTGCAGGGGCTTCCCTTGACTCCATGTCTTCACCAGGTGTCCCATTTCTGGCTCTGCCACAGAAACTCTCTAAAGGGCTGTTTGTACCCACTCCTGTGAGCTTTCCCTCCACTGGAAACTGGAAACTGTCAAAGTCACCTTTGACCTCATCATTGCTCTGCAGGTCACCACTTCCCCTTTTTAAAGATTGTGGTAAAATAACATGTGTCCTAAAATGCGCCATTTGAACCACTGCTTGGCGTGCAGTGCCATGGCATGAAGTATGTTCTGTGTGGCCATCGCCACCCTCCATCTCCAGAGCTGAGCCCCACTCTCCCCTCCCAGCCCCCAGCAGCCGCCGTTCCACTGTCTCTGTGGGTTTGAGGACTCTCGGGACCTCATGTTTAAGTGGAATCCTGCAGTATTTGTCCCTTTGGGACCGGCGTAGTCACTTGGCTCATGTCCTCCAGGTTCAGCTATCTCATAGCATGTGGCAGGATTTCCTTCCTTTTTAAGGCCATGTGACATTCCAGTCCCGCCTTGCTAAAGCCATTTGTTCACCTGGTCACTGGGGTGACCCTGGAGCTCCGCTCCAGCCTCACTGCCTGTGCTTGGTCACCGTGGCCAGCTGACCTCCCTTCTCCACCTCTGAGCCTGCAAGGGCTCCACTCAGAGGTCCCATGCGCAAGCCCTGACGGCAGCACTTGGCTCTGCTGCTGTGTCCTGTCCCACGGAGGCTCAGCAGGCACTCGCTGGGCCTCCTCCCCTGCTTGATTCTCCTCTGCACTCTGCACCCCCATCCACACTGTGCTGCTTCACAGTCTGTGGCCCTGGCCTGGGCCACTGTCCCTTCCTGTTCAGATCAGTCAGTGGGGCTCCTCAGCTTGTTCCCCCCGTCTACCCTGGCCCCTGCCATATTTTCTGCACATAGGCATGAGTGAGACTTTTCTTTTTTTTTTTTTTTTTTTT